GGACCGGCTAACCTGTGCTGTGTGTTCAGCACTGCTCTAGACAGCCTCTTGCCTCAGTGGCTTACTCTTGGGTTTCCTTCTGGTCGTCTCTGAGGCTCACATAGGAAGCCCAGGGCAAGGGGTACTGCGAGCCTGAGTCAGCAAGGGGATTGTGCAAGAGCCAGAGGCCAGCAGGGCAGAGCCTGAGAGTGTTGCCTTGCTCCTGGTGGTTCGCCTTGAGCTTGCTGAGGAAAGGCCTGCAAGAGTTGCCCAAGTGCTTTTACAAATGCTTAAATGAAATCTTGCAAGGGGCCAAGGCTATTGCAATACAGGTGAGAGGCACTTGTGACCTGCCTGGAGTTGGAACTCTCTCCTCCAGTCTAGCAGGGCCGGGCCAGGTGTCTGCATGTCCTCTCTGACTTGATGGTGCTTGGGTAACATGCCACAGGCTTGCTCATGTGAGTGGGTCTTTTGTGGCTTCTAAGACTGTGGCCAGCCTAGCCCAGAGTACCCCAAGACAACCTCTTGCCTTCTTTCATAGGGGCATTTGTCTAAGGTGGAAAGGTCAATATTGAATCTTTGCAATGATTCCTGCTCCCTTGTCCACCCACCCTGGTTGGGACACAGAGTGGCTTTACCACCTGACACTGGATCATTGGCTTTAGAGTTGCACAGCCCAGAAGCCCCTCTGTGGACCTCCTGCACCCAGGACCCCTGTGTGGATGGTCCTGTGTGGGTGTCCCCATATGGACAGGGTGGCTGGGGCGACTGCCCTGTGGGTGGTGAGATAGTGTGTGTCAGGGTCTAAGACACCAAGTTCGGTTCTTAAATGTGCCACCAGCTAGCTGTGTGACCTTGGGCAAGATGACCAGACTGCTCTGCGCCAGGGCTTTCCCATCTGAAAAAATGAGGATAACGGGACCAGCGTTATGGGATGTGGAAGGGTCTCTTTAGGTGCAGTAAGTGTGAACCACAGCGTGCACACTCAGGAAAGGGTAGGGCTACTCGCCACGAGGGCCACAGCAGGGTACGTGCCTGGTGGTCCAAGCAGAAAGAGGGCTGGCCTCCCCTTGGGCTTGCCCGGAGTTGGGCCCCGTTTTTCAGTACGGGATTCAATTAGGTCATAGAAGAGAGACAAAGAAAGTCACTGAGGCTGGAGGGCACCCAGCTGCTGAACCCTCACTCCCAGATGGTTGGCAACAGGGAGGATGGCCTGGCCTGGCTGGGCCCCACAGACCATCCGCTCCAAAGTTCCATGACGGGCTCCATTAGCACCCTGGCTCATTGGTGGGGCTGTTACATGGGCAGCCAGGCAGGTCACTTCCCCTGTCTGGTCCTCCCTCAGTCTCTTTGTGTCTAAAACCATTGTTGGTCCCCAGAGTTCCTGCCCTAGGCCAGTGTTCATTGAACCCATGATCTGACATGTGACCCCCAAGTTCCTGTCTTTCCGGTGTGAGTTAACTTTAGTTCTTCCTTTGGAACAGAAAGGAAAACAACACAGGCCCTCATTCTTAGAGCTGAGAGGAGGAGAATTGCACTGCAGTGACAAGGAGCTGGCTTCTCAGGCTAACCGCCATTCAGCCAGGGGGGTCCTAGGGGGCCTTGGGAAGAAACAGCTGCAGGTGGCAAGAGAGGGCATAGGTCGGTGTGTCTGTGAGCCATGAGCAGAGCAGCACCAGGGGCCTTTCGTTTGGGGTAGGGGGTGATCGTTAGAGACACACAGACAGGCACACCTACCTTTGCACGGGCACTGTGCTCCTGAGGCAGGTGAACATGGACTTCTCTCGTGAGGAGTAGATGATCTTTTTTCCGAACTTGTGCTCTGAAGTTTTTGGCCAAGCAAATTTCCTTTTGTGAAACCAGTCACCTCTTGCCATTGTATCTGTTTAGTCACCTAGGGGAAAAATGACAACAGCACCTCAGGGTGGATTCACTGAGCCCTATAAATAAAGGTGGAGCCGAGGCTGGTTTTAACGTGGGAAAAGATAGAAGATGGGGTGAGAGAGGGCGGACTGCGAGTTGCGGGGGGTGGGGGGGAGAGAAGAGAGCTCCGTGCGGTGGTCTGGCTGCGTGTTTTTAAGGCAGGCTTTTCTCACATGTCCCACATGGCTCCAGGGGTGGGTGGACTGCTGTGGAAATGGCCAGGCAGGGGCTGGGATGTCTGGGAACACGGGATGGGCATAGGCTGGCTAACTACAGGCCCCATTCTGCTCTGGTCCCAGTTAGGGCTGGCTTGGGCCTCCTCTGCCCTGAAGGCCTTTGGACTGTGCTGGGAGGAGAGCTGCAGGGACCCAGGCAAGCCCTGGTCTTGGTCCCTGGTGGGTCACTCGCTTGTGCCCGCTCTGCCCCTGCCGCGTGCCACGTCCTTCTCCAAGTTGCTGGGGTACGAGTGAACGAAACAGATGACGTCTCTGCCCTCAGAGGGCTTGCTCGGGGAGACGCAGTAGACAGACAGCCTGTGCGGTCATGAAGAAAATCAGCAGGAGGCGGTCAGGGGTGGGGGGCAGGGAGCAGTCCCACCCAGGATGGCGAGGGGAGGCATCTCTGAGGAGGTGAAATTTGAAGAGAGCCGACTGAGGTGAGGGAGGAAGCCAGGAACCTATATGGGGGAAGAACATTCTAGGCTGGGAAGCAGTGTCAAGGCTCTGAGGAATAGTAAGAACGCCAGTAGCCTGGGGAGCTGGGCTGGGCAGGGGGTGGGCAGGAGGACATGGGAGATGCGGGCGGACGCTGGTGGGCCGCAGACAGTGCGAATTTTATTCTCGGTGCGAAGGGAAGTCACTTGAGGGGTTCGAGGAGGGGAGTCCTCTGATCTGTGGTTTTCAAGGATCCGGGCCAGAGCAGGCGGAGTGTGGACAGGTGGGAGCAGAGGGTCGGGAACGCTGGCCACGTGCACTGTGGATTGTGAAGGTAGAACCTGTAGAAGGTTCTGGCAGGTTGTGTGTGGGCAAAAGGCAAAGAGGCATCAAGCTTGGGACCGGGTTTTCTCTCTCACACACACACAAGTGGGTGCACATGGGGCCGGGTGGTGGGGAGCTGGGTCGGGGGCTGGGAGACCAAGGCTCCGTTGCCCGCACGTTAAGATGGAAATACTTGTAGCTGTGTGAGGTGGACAAGTGAAGGAGACATTACGGTGTTTGGCTTGAGGGATTGGCCAGGGCTGGAGATTGGATCTGAGAGCCAGCATGTTAGATGGTATTTAAAGCCTGTGATTATGAGGTCCCCTAGAGGATTCAGGGGAGGATGAAGGGGCAAGGACTGCAGGGTGAGCGCCACTGGCCTTTCTTTAGAGGGGTCTGGAGGAGGAGGCGGGAGTGTGTCCGTGAGTGGTTGGGGGAGGAGGGCGTGAGCAGCTGTGTTGGATGAGGTCAGATAAGAAGAGAAAAAGATTCGGTCTCCAGCTTTGGCACGAGGGAAGCAAGTCACTGGGGCCTTGAGGAGTGGTAGGGATGGGGCTGACAGGACACGGTGGGCAGTAGCCACTGCCTTCGGGCTCGCTCCCTGTGCCAGCATGGGACACCTGGGAGGGAAAGGAAGTGGCTGTACCCTCCATCAAGAAAGAACACCAGCCAGTAATTCAGAGGGAGGACTGAGGAGCGGGACATCCTCCAGGATGAGCCCGCTGGAGCGTGCGCTGTGCTTTGCTGTGGGCTCAGTGCTGTATCCAGTGCTGGAGACGGGGCCGGCACTCGGCGCCTACCCTGCGAAGATCAGTTGAACGAATGAGCGAGGAGTGAATGAAAACTGAACTGAGACTTGGGACCCGCCCTTCTCCCTGCTGCCTGGCATTTTGGTCTTGGCCCTGCTTTGTTCTGTTTTATAAACTGTAGGGATCAGTCCTGGCAGAGCTTTTTCACTTAGGCTTCACAGACCACTGCGGGAACCAGCAACGGAAGGCTGCGAGCCCTCTGAGATTCCGTACAAAATATTGGGCACGTGTGCGTTTTCTGAACGTGACGTGCTCCCAAAGAAGTTGAGACCTCCCGGGGCTTTCTGTATAAGGGGCCCGTTCTTCCAACTTCAGCCCCCTAGGGCTAGTATTGGAAAAAAATGGGCAGAAATGGCTTAAGGCTGGAGAATACACTGGAAGATTGAGAGCCACAGAGAAGCCTAGCCCTGTTACTTCTGGGGAGATGCTGGTAAATGACAGCGAAATGCCAGCGTGGTGTAAAGCAGCTAAACAGAAAAATAGGAGGCCGCTTTGTTTGCAGAGATCATGATGTGTTTTGTTTTGTAGGGAAAATCTTCCCCGGTCTAGGAACCTGTGTGTGTATTTGGGTGGGCCCCTTTCTGATGTGGCGCATGTGGGACAGCCTGGCCCCAGTGGGTTCCTGGAGGTGGGAGGTCGGGGTTGGGGGTGCTTCTGCTTCTCTTCTGCGGTGCAGAAATGCAGCCCTGTATTAACTCAATAGCTAATAACCCAGCGTTTCCGGAGCACACGGGGGCCCCGTGCTGCGTATAGGTACTATGGGGAAGAGGGTCAGCCCTTGCCAGTGAATGGCCTGGGTAGCTGCTTGCCTGCGCTCGGAGTCTGTCTCCAGGGCAGGAGGCCTGGGGCGGGTGGCAGAGTTGGTGCTGGACTCTGCTCCCCCATCCCCTCACCCCAGGGTGGTGCCTGGTCCTGTGCAGAGCCTCACCCTGCGCTGGGAGGCTCTGAAGGCACCTGGGGCAGCCCTCACAAGGGGTGAAGCCTTCCTACACACCAGATCGTGCACTGAAATGAGTTGGGGGTTGCATAATGGTGACGGGCCGGGGCACAGCCCGATGTCTGTGACTCTGGAGGGGCCATCTGGGGTTGAAGGAGTTGGTCCAGACGTTGGGGAAGTCAGGAGCAGGTTCTCTGCAGAGCCTCAGTGTCCCTCTGTTCTGGGGTGGGAAGCCCTGTAGGAGCCAAGGGGCCACCTTGGACATGAGCCAGGAGCATCCCCCGGCTAGCAGTGCGGACTTTGCTCTGTGAAGCATGTTCGCAGTGCTGGTTTCTGACCTAATTTTCTCTCTCTCTTTTCCCTGCCCCTGCTTAGTTGGCTGGAGTTGTCTTCCTTGGAGTCGGGCTGTGGGCATGGAGCGAAAAGGTAGGTGTTACTGTCACTAGCACTCTGAGCATCAGGCAGCCAAAACCAGATTCATTCAGCTTAAAATGTTCCTCTCCTCCAATCTGTTCCCTGACAACGAGCATTTCTTGTGCAGTGTGAAGGTTTATAGTCCTTACTCTTCACAGAACCTGCTCCCCTGTTGTAGGGCCGTTGGGTTTGAGCCCCGTGGCTGTGGAGAGCCTTCTCCTCTGTTCCCAGCTGCCCCAGGCTTGTCTGCAGCTGTGCCCAGCGCAGGCTTGGGGCTAACTTCCTGATCCCCCCTCTGTGCCTCTGGGAGCAGGTGAGCAGTTCCCTGGACGCAGTTGCAGTTTATCCCTGAAGCTCTTGTCTTGGCCCACAGAAAGAACCCCTGAGAGCAGGAAGGAAGGCTGTGTGCCTCCTGGGTGCCTAGTGGGGCAGGAGCAGGTCCTTAAGCACCTGTGGAGGGGGCTATGAGGAGGGGCGACTAGGCTTTTATGACCTGGAAGGACTAGGGGCAGTTGCAACTCTAGGGAGGAG